TACATTATTTTCTATGAGTGTAGGCAGACCGGCGGCGCAGCTACGTCATGTTATACTTGTAAGAATTGTTCTAGACGTGCCGAAAATTACGCTACAGCACAGCAGCTCTTCTTCTTGGTTTTCTCTGATGCACTAACTCTGCAGCGGCACTTCTTCTTCGTTGAGGTTTTATCAATTAAGGATGTTGCTTTATATATTGTCCTTAATTAGTTTAGAGCATTAGGAAGAAATTAGCCTTTTTGAATTGCAGAATTAAAGTATTACAACCTGTTGTTCTTGCTTTTTTACAGGATGCTTCCTAAAACTTGCCAGATGCTGCTGTTCTCGGCCACATTTGAAGACACCGTGTGGAACTTTGCAAAGAGGATCGTTCCCGACCCCAACATCATTAAACTTAAGCGTGAGGAGGAAACTCTGGACACCATCAAGCAGTACTTCGTCATCTGCAACAGCAAGGAGGAGAAATTCCAGGCTTTGTGCAACATCTATGGAGCCATTACTATCGCACAGGCCATGATCTTCTGCCACGTAAGTAACAATACCATTTGTTGATATGGAGCCATTATTTCGTATTTATAAATCACTGAAAGAAGTGGTAAAACATGGAGCCTTCCAAATATAACCATGTGATTTGCCGTCACAGACCAGGAAAACTGCCGGGTGGCTGGCAGGAGAGCTGTCCAGAGAAGGCCACCAGGTGGCGCTCCTCAGTGGAGAGATGCAGGTGGAACAGAGGGCAGCGGTCATCGAACGTTTCCGTGACGGCAAGGAGAAAGTTCTCGTTACCACTAATGTCTGTGCTAGGGGTATGTCGGCTGTCTGTCATTTTACCTTCAAGCTCATCTTCAGTTCAGAATGAGTAGATTTTGCCTAATGGCTTTTTTTTTTTTTGCAAACGTTTCTTCTATCAGGTATTGATGTGGAGCAAGTTTCAGTCGTTATCAACTTTGATCTGCCAGTGGACAGGGATGGAAACCCTGACAACGAGACGTATTTGCACAGAATCGGGCGTACTGGGCGATTCGGCAAGAGGGGGTTGGCGATCAACATGGTGGACAGCAGATTTAGCATGAACATCCTCAACCGCATCCAGGAGCACTTCAGTAATATGAACTCTTATTTCTCATAACAAACTGATCAATGTCCTGGAGTAAGCTCTATCAGCAGAGTCTGAGACATTCTGTTGATTATTAGTAGGAAACAGTCCCTTATAGTTCCTCATTTTCTGAAACACAAAAATATACAAACTAATGTTTGTGAAAATGTTTACAATAATTCATAATTTGCATAAGGCAAGACACTGGAATGAAATACCGTAGTTTTTGAAAGGGCACAAGGCTGACATCTCTGAATTCCTTACTAAAGCCGGACTCAGACTACAGTGTTTGTTAAATCATAACTGATTATAAAATCTAGTTTCAATAGATTCTTCACAGAATTTTCATCTCTCAGCTGCTAATTTGTTAGCTAGTGCACTAGCAGTTTTCAGCTCTCACACGGTACGTTCAAAACTGATGCGGTGTCTCCTTAGTTCTTCTCGTTGTCCGTATGGTTTTGGTAAGCTTTCAAGGTCAAGTTATTAGGGATGTAATGATTCACCGCGAGCCGGTTGAAAATCGATACAAATATGTGACGATTCAAATCGGTTGAGATATTAAACGAATCGCGATACATTTGGGGGTGGGAGTTTATATGAATGTGTTTCTGGGGGGAACTTACCGTCTTTAGAAAAGTTTAGATGAGGATTTTCTTTTCATCTCGTCTCTATAATTCATGTTAAAGCAGCGTCTATAAGCGCTGCGCTGCTTTGTTTACAGCGGTAACCTAGGAAACGCTGTATTACTGCTGTTCCAGAAGCGCCACCTGCTGTCAGAGAGTGAATCTGCATCTCATTCAGAGCTTCTGCTCTGTTTCGTGCAGATGCTTTGTAGTATAGTTACACAGAACTAAAGTCAGCATTCTGTTTTTGTTTTAAAATGTCAAATTATACAATCTAATTTAATTTAAAAACTGCTCATGTAGCATCTACGTTTAGATTGTGATTCAAATGCAGTGGTCGCTTCTAATTTTTAATGGAAAGCCAAAGGCAAAGCCTTTGTTTATATGAAGAGATTTTTTTTTGTCTTATTTGATTAGATTTGGGGTTTGTTTTAAAATTTCAATTTAGTTTTGTTTCACAAAGAAATGTGCAGCATTTTGTTCAAGCAATAATAAAAGGACTAATTATATTTTGTTTAAAAAAAAAAAAACACGTGAGAAAATCAAATCATGAAATCAGAATCGTGATTTGAGTGAATCGTTACATCCCTACAAGTGATGCAGGCATTCATGTTGCTGCCACACTTCCTCCTCCTCGGCTGTCCAGTGGACATGTACTGCAGCTTGTTTAAGAGTCGCACATTGGCCTTCGTGAAAGTACTCATGTAATCATAATCATCCTGATCTAAAATCCTAAATATCAGGGCAGCCCTGATGTGTCTGAAAGCAGATCGGGAGGTTTAAGATTTGATCAGTAAACGCTTAATTACCAGCTGAACATCGAAACTGACCGAGGTCCTGGATGAGATTTGTTTTTCTCAGATTCTCAGCAGGGGTAAATCGGGGACGAACGGATTTAAAACTCCTGTAATGTGAGCCCATGTTACATTACATCCATTTTTTTTGACCATATAGTAATTTATTTATTGAACAAAGCATCTTATTAGTATATAATGGTTTCAACTAACAAATTTATTTTTATTATTTCTCTCCGAGTGTTCAGTTTCCAGTGATCAACATTTCACAGCTGCTGCTGATAGAACTTTTAAACTAGGACAATTTCATTATTTAACTCGTATCCATACTTTTATTTATTGCCATGTTTTCATGGTTCTGAATGTGGGTTAATTCAATTATCCGTTTCCTGTTACAGATAAGAAAATCGAGAAGCTGGACACAGATGATTTGGATGAAATCGAGAAAATCGCCAACTGAGCGGCCGTCTTTGTTCTTCTAATAGGACTGGAAGCAGAGCTGTGCCAGAGAGGATGTTTACATGTGGAGGAGTTTTATCTCTGATGGAGTTTTTATAGGTTTTGTTTTAAACACATTTCACTCTTTGTACTTAATAAATTTCGAATGTCTAGTCTTAACGTCACGTGTGCGAGAATGCTACAGGAGCGGTCCGGGATAGTGGCACGAGGAATATGCCTTTCGATATATCAACAATTTCATCATGAACCTTTGACACTTAACAGCCTGCCTTCACATAAAGTGTGGGGGAAAAATTACATTGACCGTTATATTGATTTCTAACATCCTCGTGTTGTCGTAAATGTTGATGAGATTTGTGAAATGAGCTGAATTTTCGATCACGAGTGTGCAGAGTGCTACGTTTCATGAAAAATGAGCATTTTAAGTCAAGTTTATTTGTGTTTATGAAATCTGGGTGCAGCTACATTTGATGCGTGTCACTCCTAACTAGGAGTCAAAATGCAGGGTTTATTTCATATTATGAGATTGCTGTTATACATTAATACTCAATAACTCATGACATTGCTACAGAAGGATGCTAGCATTTATTGGCTTTGAATTAAACGCAAACAGTTTCCAAAGTCCTTTTTCTGGTATAAAATTATGCAAAAGCCAAAGATTTGTGCCTCCATTGGATTCGCCAGTATTTAATATGGAATAACACAAATGTATATTCATCATGTCCAAATATTGTCGTGCGTATTTAAGTACAAAGAGTGAAACTGTTATATTTAACAGATGCGTCACTGCATTCGTTGTAAGAGTGCTCCGGAGTGGAAGTGTTATTTGTGTTCCCAGTAACAGACTGCATTGAATTGGAAATGATCAGGTTCAAGTACTCGAATGCAACTGAATTTGTAACCGCAGAAGGCTGTGCCACATTCCCGTTTGCAGCTGCCTTAAAAATGTAAAAGGCAGATGCGAAAGCGTCCTCTACAATCTCAGTGTATTCTTCAGGGTAGCCGTAGCAAATGATAATGTAACCACTCTAAACTCAAACGACACTGCACTCGACTCCATTACATATGCATTAGAGTAGACGTATATTTTATTCATTGGTATGCGAGTAGTGAGGTTGGGGTAAAGTGTGTCGGTCGCTTCTTTGAAGGGAAGACTTTTCTTGATAAAAGAATGATTAGATTGCTTGAATATATCTCCTGTTGCCTTGTTCATTCTCTCAGTTTGGTTCAAGCTGTCGAGTTGCAATGATATTAAATAGAGGGTTTGCAAAGAAAATGTATGATTAAACTAAAGGTCTGTCTAGAAACCATCACTTGATCTGGTGTCGCATCAGAGAATAAATGGACTTGTCTGTTATCAAACACATTCCTGCATAATCGTAGCATTTCTACATTTTTTTTAATTTTTAGTATGTAACTGAAATACCCATAATGCTTGAGGACAATTCAATGATGACGTTTTCACATCACCACAAGGCTGCTCGTAGTCGTTCGAGTCATATTCACCTCAATGAAGATGTATTTATAACAATCCTTTTTTTTTTCAACAAACGTGCACTTACAGCTGACAAATCAGCCTTTTGAAATGATTAATAATTTCCGTATTTCACCTCAACTGAATGTTGATGACAAAAAAGTATGTAACTCTGAAAGTGATCTGTAATGACAGACTCGGTGTGTGTTTTTGGAGCGGATCAGTGACTGTCTGGACTCTGGATGTTACAGGATGAGGAATGCTTGCCGCGAATCTTGACAAAACTGTTTAAAACTGATAAAACCTCTCAGATCTGCTGCTTTTGTGCTGATATTGATGTCTGAATGATGTGTGCTAGAATAAAACTATGAATCAAAGTATCTTTGACTAACTTTTTGTAATATTTTAAAAAAATATATATATATATGTAATTAAGGATATATATTACTTGCATATTCCTATGCAAGTATGGTTTTGACACAGGCAGGTGTTGGAAAAAAAGGGATAAAAAAAAACACTTTAATAAATGTTTTAACATATTTACATTTGATATTGTGAGATATTTATTTAAATGATTATTTTACTGTTCAGCCAGCATACAAGCTCCAAGATCTGCAAAAACAAAATCATATTTAATACCGCTGTAAAATGCAGGATATTGTGGTGGAAATGGATAATTCGAATGAATGGCTGTTAGGACATATTACATATAATTGCACTGTATACACTATATTACCTGAAGCAGCATGCATTATGCAACAAACAGCAGTAATACTCTACGCTCGTCACATTACCTCTATTCTGCATATTTGTGCAATCTAGTTACCTTCTCATTATTTTGCATTTATTTTTGCATTGTGTTAACATTCATTGACATGGAGGGTCAAGTCGAGCACATTGCATTTTGGGATATGTTGTTCTGTGCAGTGTGTGGTTGGTCTTCCAGGTAGTCTAAAATGTGCATACACGTATAATGAGTAGAGTGATATTCTGGACCCAAACTGCCGGTTCGTACCTGTATCTCTGTACTGTACGTCGGTCAGAAACAGGCCGTGGGCTGGGGCCGTCAGGTTTTGTGGGAACGCCAGTGAATCTGGTGTTTCTAGCAGCTCCTGAATCTGACTAACAGACAGTCTACCCTGACCGACGGCAACCAGCGCCCCAGTCATCCTCCGCACCTGTGAGCGGAAACATGGAGCTTTGATTATGTGACTACTATTGCTATATAAGCTATCAGCCATATTTCATCATCAAAGACATTCTTTCAAATCCACTGAAATGAAATGCATGCAATGAAATTCACACATTTAACACTTGGAAGCAGACTACCTACAATGCAACATAAATATCATATTTATAGGGGAACAAAGCCAGTACTTACTTGTCTGTATAAAAAGGACCTACTTTTAAAAGTGAGCTCCCAGAACTGAATATCTCTGTAAGAAAATGCACAAAAATCAAGCAATTTGAAATCACTTTCATTGAAGCCACCAAACATGACCAAAATTCCATGTGTGCAAGTGACTGAACAACAGATTCATGGGTGAAGTCTGAAGACCTGACCTCTTTCGGGTTGTCTTCTTCACTCAGCGTATTATTATTTCTGCCTAGTTGGCACACTATTTCTTCCATTAAAACTAAAGCTGCCTGCATCAGATAAACAACTGGACCTGCAGCAGGAGCACTGAGCGCTCTGGATAACATGCAATATTTACTGCTAGAGAGGTCCAATGTTTCATAGTGCTTTTTGTTTTTTAATTGACGATGAGATTTGTTTGGACTGACTTCATAGAGACGCTAAATGGGATCGTCTGGCTCTCATTTAATCACAGCTTTGAATGAACAAACAGCCAGAGTGTGTTACATGAAGAGAGATAAGCATACAACACCGACGCAATTAAAAACCTCAAAGGAAGCACATGTGAGTCTAAAATACATACCTGCACTTCCAGACTAAAGAAAAATAGTGTACTGCTTACTGTACTCTTTAAAAATTGTATATGAAATAGTATGTAATGATAAAATATGAGACTTCAAATAAACAAATGCATTAATTTTCCATGACTTTTCCAGTTGTGTGATGACTGTAAATAAAAAAAATATTCTAAAATTATTTTTATATTTTTCATGTAACGCACCCTGGATGTTTCGGACACAGAGAAATATTTATAGCTTAAGAAAGACTTGAATTGAAAATAACCTCAAACATTATATTTGCTATATAGAGTTCATGAATCTCATTTTTTTTAATTCCCCAATATTTTCAGATTTTCCAGGACTCCTAGAAAACACTATTCTCAAGATTTTTCTAGTTGAACATTCCTTTTCACTTCGGAACACATCACATTACAGAAGTAAAACGGGTTGCAAATGGCATTTTATGTTGTCCAGATAGCATCTCATGTGCGTTTTAATCATATTTTATCTGAAAACTCTCAGTAGTTCAATCTGAGGAGGCATTCTCATTAATCCTATCATCAGTTAAGCTAATGCTAACTAACCAGACCCTTTATATAAGCATATCTTGTTTCACGAACAATAAACCCTTTGGTTACCTCATCAGCTTGTCTTTTCCATATAACCAATCAACACAATCAATCTACTTGCAGGGGCTATGTGATCCCTTTTAATGACTATCACCCTATTGTAGAGGAATATCTGATCTCATTAACTAAGTGACTGAACAAATATTTCATATCTAACTCATGCATTGGGTGCACCTGGACATCTAAGCTTTTCCATTTCGTAATTAATTCACCTCCATATGACATGAGCGCTGACGTCACAGATGTAAACGATGAACACGTGGACATAATCATGATGTTTCTTGTGTGTGAAGTCCACTCCATTCATTATAATACAGATGAAATGTGGCATTCATTTAACTACTCCTACAGTTTAAAACCTTGTTTGCATATTAACAATTTTATCTTGTAGTTTTGAATCCAGGTAGATAATAATACATGTATAGTTTAAATTCAAATGAATGGTTTGCCCAAAAAAATTCACATTTGCTGATAATTTACTCAATAATAGCCTCAGGCCATCCAAGACGTAGATGAGTTTGTTTCTTCATCAGAACAGATTTGGAGAAATGTAGCAGTACATCACTTGCTCACCAATGGATGCTCTGCAGTGAATGGGTGCCGTCAGAATGAGAGCTGATAAAAACATCACAATAATCCACACCACTCCAGTCCATCAATTAACATCTTGTGAAGTGAAAATGTGGATTATTGTAATGTTTTTATCAGCTGTTTGGACTCTCATTCTGACGGCACCCATTCACTGCAGAGCATCCATGGAATGTTACATTTCTCCAAATCTGTTCTGATGAAGAAACAAACTCATCTACATCTTGCATGGTCAGATGGTGAGTAAATGTTCAGCAAATGTTCATTTTTAAGTGAACTATTCCTTTGTGTTACTGTGTATATATGACCACAAAAGGAGATATTTTAAAGAATGTTCACTCTGCTGATGATACCAGGCATATGATGACAGAATTGTCCTTTTTTGAGAAACTGTCCCATTAAAAGCAGCTAAAGTCTCTCTTTTGGTAGAAAAAACACTTTTCTGATTTGCATTTCTTAAAGGGTTATGCAGCAAAATGCCATGATCAGTTTTTTTCACAAACAGTGACATGAGTGTGTGTGTATGTGTGTGTGTAAGTGTGGATGATAAATGCACTGATCCCCTGCTAATCTTGACATTAGTGTGAAACAGAGCAGATAGTGTGTGTGTGAGTGTGTGTCTCCCAGCTGAGAGCCGCACGTGAAAAACCCAAAATGACCTGCCGAAGGGATCCCAGTGTGAGTTGATTTTAAACATATGTCCCAAAGGCTTTTGAGGGAGGCACGGATAATCATTTTTGTTTCTGAATGCAGAATTATTTTTATATATAAAACCAATTGTGATTAAAGGATTATTCTGGGTTATTTTTTAACTAAGGTTACTGTAAGTGATATCAGAAAGTGATATCTGAAATTAGGAGCCAAAAAAAAAAACTTTTTCCACATATACAGTGGGTACGGAAAGTATTCAGACCCCCTTAAATTTTTCACTCTTTGTTATATTGCAGCCATTTGCTAAAATCCTTTAAGTTAATTTTTTTCCTCATTAATGTACACACAGCACCCCATATTGACAGAAAAACACAGAATTGTTGACATTTTTGCAGATTTATTAAAAAAGAAAAACTGAAATATCACATGGTCCTAAGTATTCAGACCCTTTGCTCAGTATTTAGTAGAAGCACCCTTTTGATCTAATACAGCCATGAGTCTTTTTGGGAAAGAGGCAACAAGTTTTTCACACCTGGATTTGGGAATCCTCTGCCATTCCTCCTTGCAGAGCCTCTCCAGTTCTGGCAGGTTGGATGGTAAACGTTGGTGGACAGCAATTTTTAGG